TACTAATACTAATATATTCTTTGGATAGGGAAAAGATAGACATGCAACTAAAAATGAGTATTTTTTCAGACAGGATATTAGAGTCCCATTTCAAACCCATAGATACTGTTGTATTTGTTTTAAAAATTTAATAAATTCTAATATTTAATCCCTCATTCTCCTCTGTCCTTCACCCCTTCCACAGTGCAGTTACCCCAGGGCATGGTTGGGCTTCCAACACTGAGACATGTGCCAAAACCAAGAGGTTTTGAAGTGTTACTGCTGTACTCGCTGGGACTCAAGTCAAACATGAGTGACCCCCCAGTTTGAAGCTGCCCTGTGGAAACAACCATGAGATTTGTCTGGTCATGAAGTGTGACAGTTTAATTCATGCCAGCATATGTGACAGAAACCATTAAAACATGTCTTGTCAGTAAAGCATCTTCCATGCTAAATAATTCTCTGCTTGAAACTTAAGAATCTAGGCTGCAGTTACCCACACTTGGAAATATATTATTATAATCCTCAGTGACCTTAAATTGAGTAAGATTCCATATTAGCAATTATCAGCAATGCACCTCAACTGTTTTGAATGTAGGTTCCTACAAAAAGCCATGACAGTTTTTCCAGTTGCTATTAATATTTATTACCAATCCAATCATATGCATATCTAAGCATATCTAAGCATATCTAAGAAACATTTGAAAAATATATATTTTTACACCTATGGGACATTGCATTGCATGCATGTTTTCTCTCTAATTAATAATTATAGGATATTTGCATTGTTATTGAAGTTATAATAGAATCTCTGTTTATCCTAATTTTTTTGAATATTCAGGTGTATTTAATGGCTATGATATGTATGTGGCAGAGTTCATGCAGTGTAGTCCCTTTCCATCTCATACACAGGAACTTGTCAGATTAATAATATAATTTCCATTGTTGGTCTTATCTGATTTTTTTGCTCAGTTTTAATGATGAGTAGAATTCATACTTTCCTGAATCTAAGAAACATTTGAAAAATATATATTTTTCAAATTTCATTTTTGCAAAATGGCCTTTCTCCCCCAACAAGAAAACATGCAGTGAGCCCTGTTAGCATGAGCTCTGTTTAAAGAGGACCCATTGGTACGTGCTTACTCTTCTTTCAAGGTCCCTCTCTACCAATTAACTGTCATCATTAAAAGGCAGCCCATGGAGCTGGTGTTGCCATGGAGGTTTTGGTGTTGCCGTGGAGGTTTTGGTGTTGCCATCACAGCTGTTTCATACAGAAAGTTTGCCCAAATGGATGGGAAGTCTTGAGGCTGCCTGAGAGAGAGATGTTAACTTAACAGAGCAGGCCAGCAAGAGGTGAGGACTTTAATTAAGTTTTCTAAGATTTCAGTGAGAAATATCAGGTGTTGTTATTGTGTGACAGAACAAGACCATGCCCAGCTGGAGGTGAGTTAGTGGTAGGGAAGTGACTGCATGATGGCACATGTCTGGTGCCCACGTACAAAGGGGGAGCTCTGGTTATCAAAGTAAGAGCAGGAATAAAGAAGATGCTGTTCAGAACCAAAATAACTGCAACTTCATCACCATTAGATGGAGGGACCTGTCCCAGTGAAAGATACAAGGAGAGGAGTCATGAGGAGAATCACAGAATCCTTCTGGTTTGAAAAGACCTTTCAGATCATCAAGTCCAACCCAATTCTGCCAAGTCTACCACTAAACCATGTCCCTCAGCACCACATCTACATGGCTTTTTAACACCTCCCAGGACGGTGATTCAACCACCTCCCTGGGCAGCCTGTTGCAGTGTTTCATTACCCTTTCAGTGAACAAGTTTCTAATATCCAACCTAAGCCTCCCTGGTGCAACTTGACACCATTTTCTCTTGTCCTGTTGCTTGTTACCTGGGAGGAGAGACCAACCCCTTCCTCACTCCAGCCTCCTTTCAGGTAGTTGGAGAGAGCAAGAAGGTCTCCCCTCAGCCTTCTCTTTTCCAGGCCAAACCACCCCAGTTCCCTCAGCTGTTCCTCATCACACTTGGTCCCCAGACCCTTCCACAGCTCCACTGCCCTGGAAGCCCTGGGATAAGTTACTCTGCCTCCTCTGCTGCCTGACTGTCCTGTCTGAAGTCCAGCTGCCACTGCTACGTGTCAGTGCTGGGATGGGGCATCTTGGCAGTGGGCTCGAGAGCAACATGAACTCTGTTGCCTTCAATGATGTTAGCACATTTTACTGAGGGAGAAATTTGTACTTTTTGTTTTGTTCCTGTGGCCCACAGAGGATTCCACAGCTCTGGAATCATGGGAAGATACGTGGTCCTCTTAATTACAGGGGGGGCATTTGTATTGCTATAGTTAGAGATCTGCCAGCATTTCCATTACAAACCCTGCTTTGGTGGTTTATAGTTCAATCATAAAAACATGGTGCTGCCCTTAGGAATCTGGAGTGAAGCAATGATTTATTCCCACTTCTCCCCCAAAAAAGAATTTTAAAGTGTCTGGTTTTAAAATCTGAAAGCAATAAATAACTGACTAGATGTCAACTATACAGGACTTTGCATTTCTACAGTTTAGCAAGAACTTTATTTTTTAATTGCAATATAGGTGACCTTTAATCTGTGATTCTTTTGCAAGTGTTTTTAGCTATTTTGAAACTAATCAAACTTTTTCATGCTTACCTGCCTTCACTTAAATTGGTTAGATTGAAACAGGTCTGTAAAAAGCAATTCAATGTATTTTGGATTTAAAGACAAACTCTTGAAATAGTTCCTAAAGAAGAGGTAAATAAAAGAGCTTCAAGACATTCAAAGTTACCAGTTCCTATAGTGTTAGTCCTCAGGATTTCTGAAAAAAAATGCAAGTTACCTTTAGCCAGGCACTGAGATGTGGCAGCTGCAGTTATGCCTGTTCTGTAAAGCACCAAGAGATGGGGCCCAGAATGTTCTGCTTGCCCGTGGTAGTAATCCATGGTTTCACATCTCAAGGATGCCCCAGCAGAAGATGTGTAATTACATCTTTACTTAACTGATGGAATAATTTGACTACAATTGCCAAAAGTTTTTCATAACTGCAAGTCTTTTAATCAAATCTGGTTTTCTCCTGAAAAGATATGCTAGTGCTGGCTTTGGGTTTGATCCAGTTCCATGAGAAACCTCCTGGGCCTGTGTTGTGTAGGTAACAACTGTAGGACTCTGTAGTTCCCTCAGGCTTCAAAAACTCTGGTATGTTAAAATAGCAAGTCTAAAGATTCCTCCTTCTTCTCCTGATCAGGTGGAGCAGAAACTGAGATTCTGTCAAAAAACAGGCAACTAGGTTTTGTTTGCTTACATGCCTTTTTGTCTGTTTTTGAATAAGAAATCAGAACAAACAAACCAGTATTAGAATCATAGAATCATGGAATTATTAATGTTGGAAGGGACCTTAAAGATCATCAAGTTCCAACCCCCCTGCGATGAGCAGGGAACCCACCACTAGACCAGGTTGCACAAAACCTCATCCAACCTGGCCTTAAAAACCTCCAGGGATGGGGCATCAACAACCTCCCTGGGCAACCCTTTCCTCTTCCTCACCACCCTCAGACTGAAGAATTTCTTCTTTCATCAGCATGCATGCTAGGACAATCAGAGAAAGCCCATTGAAAACCAAAAGAGAAGAGATGGATGTGTTGTCCTGGGAATGTGACAGGAAGCAGCACAGAATATTTGTACCTTGCTGTGAATGCCCTCTTGTTCTCATGCACATTTGCCTTTCAGTGAAAGTATCAAAGCATATTTCCAAGCATTCCTTAAAAGCATGTTGAAAATAAAAGTTTAAAACCGAGGGAAAACGTGTGTGAATTTTCATTAGCTCTATAACCCTACAAATAGGTTTGGATGTTACCAAAAGCCAGGTGACCTTTCTATTCTTTATCTCTTGATCTTTATGTCAGGATTTGAAATCCCAAAATACCTGTTTGTGGTTGTGTGTTTCTGTGCAATGATGTGCAGAGCATAGAGAGATCAGGGTGAACCCCATCTAACCTCTTGACAATCCTTTGTAAGTATTTGGAAAATAATGTGCTCATAAAATCTCTAAGAATTCTTTGTTTATTTTCTACAGCATCAACTTTGCCTTTGATTGTATTTACCCTGTTGAAATTGGGTACTAAATGAAGGTCTCAGAGCCCATAAAGCTCACTGTCCTGCTGCTGCCCAGTCTGATTACATGTTGAGGGTGTTCAGCTTTTTATTTCTAGTTGTAATCATGTTCTGCTAAGTCTTTGTATTTATGCTTGGTTGATAGAGGTTCAATATAAGTACATTTTAGGTGGAATAAAAGGTAAAGAAGTGACAGCTGTACCCATGTCTGGGAGATCAAAAACTTCTTCAAATGAATGATGGAAAAAAACTGTTATTCACAGAACTTTCTGAGAGACAGAACCATAATTATTTGATTGGATAAAGCATAGTGATATGTTGTTGCATGTGTGATTCCCTCATCAGTGCCTGAATTATTACTTCCATTCTATGCAGTAGCTGGAGCCTTACCTAGAGAACTTGAAAAATCTGTAACAGAACCCAGGATCTTCCTTTAAAGGAAGTTTATTTGATGAATTAGACATTATTGCTTTCATACGTGGTCACAAAAAGAAGGAGGAAAAGGTGATTAATTTGACAAAACTAATGGTTTTAACCTTGGAGAGAGTGACTTTGTGAGATAGAAAACACAGCAGAAGAAAAGGGGAAGAGGAAAAAGAAAATAGGAAACAGCAGAAACTCAGTTTAAAAAGTGAAGTTAAATGGAAGACATACAAAACAGTTAAGTATCCTAACTGGGTGTATTGGGAATAACATGGAACTCCACAAACATAGACAGGAATTCACCAAAACACGTAGTCCTACCTAGACAAGTGACATTTGAATGAGCACAGCAAGAACAGCTCTGGCTGCTTTATGGTCAAACTGAAATATTTTTCATGAATCATCTAGCTTAATCATTTAACTCATAGTTGCTCTCTCTAATATGTCTTTTTTTTTGTTTTCCCCTTAGCTAACAATGCCAACCTTTCCTGTGGTGGTGAAGATTGGACATGCTCACTCAGGCATGGGAAAGGTGCAGATGCTACTTACTGCATGTTAGGAGACCAGTGTTTGCCTACAACAATATGCATGTTCCTTCTTTTCCTGGACATTTTAACTGTTCACTCTTCTAACTCTGTATGAGATCCTTACCCCTGCAAATCTCTTCTTGGTTATTGTCCAAGAAAGCACCTTTCTCTAGGAAAATATTAAGATAAATATTTTCACATCAAGGCCTTTCTGTCCGTGCATTGTCCTATCTAGGATGTTCTTTGAAACACGCTGAGGTGCTTTCTTGAAGTAGAACCTTATTTATTAATTCAGTTGACTGCAGTGAAAGTTATTTAAGAGTCAAGGTCTGTTTGCACAATCCAACTTTTTGGACCTGGGAATATAGGTTCTTTATGAGTTTCAGCTCAATACTGAACTTTTCTTCGTTTCCTGTCTTAATGTATTCACTGTGATTGTTTCATACCCCTATATAACTGCTGCTTTCTTTCCCCAAAGTAATTGCATTTCAGTGGTGAGTACAGCTGTTTTGATATCACTTCTCTCACAATGATGGTTCAATGGGATATGATTTGAATCCCACTTTCATTGATATCAGTGAAAATTTCTGGTCGTTACAGATTAACCATTTTCCCTCACTAAAAACACTTCAGTGCTTGAAGTGCTTTAGATTTTAAAACAAATCATCAGAGAATAGTTGCATTTATCATCTTGAATCTCCAAAAGCTCCATGATCATATTTTATCACTCACAATAGAAATAAAAAATACATTTAATTGTATTTTACTCAGTAATTATGCAAGTTGTGCTTACATGTCATGTTCTTGTGCCTGTCTTGGTTTTGCTTAGTCCTACTCAGTAAGTTAGTGGAAATCTGGCAGCCAGTGTAATTGAGAGGAGAATTAACCACTAATTTCTTAAACAGCAGCTTCTGATGATTGCATATGTGAAGTATTAGAATGTTTATACTGTCCTTTCAATATTCACCTCTCGCTTATAGAAAAGGAAAACAACACAGACAAATGTAGATTCTCTTTAGCTCTAAAATACTTTAAAACCTAAAGGATTAACTGCCAGTCTTTTGTAGTGAAATGCTCACTGTCAGAGTCCAAGTAAAGGTTCTCCCAGTCCTCCCTAAAGGCATTGCCAGGAGTAGCATTTCCATGGTCCTACTTAGACTCACATGTGCTTAATTATTAGGTTTTCAGAAACTAAGTTGAAACCAAGCACCCTGTCTGGTTTTGTGGCTCTCAAATGGCAAGTTACTCTGTGTTGTTCTCCATCTGAGAGCTGAGAGCAGATACTTGGGCCTTATGACTTCTGTGAGCTCCCCCTGACCCTACTAATACACAAGTCCCATCTGGTGGCTGGGGCACCCCAGCCCTCAGGTTCCCTTGAAGCACCAGGTGACTGGAAGCAAACAAGGCACTGGGCTTGCAAAGAGTTGCAGACTCTCCTAATGTTAGATAAGATGAGAAATTATAACCCCTGCCTCCTCTCCTCACTATCCTAAAATGTACTTTGGGTCAGTGTGTTGGAGTTCCAGTTCCCCCCTCCCATTTTCTGCTACCGCTAAGACTCCTCTTCTGAGTCACTTTTTCTCCCCACTTCAGCCACCTTCCTTTAAGTCAAATGTAGAGATGTGCCCTCCCTGTCCAAAAGTGATGTCTCTGTCCTCCACCTGTCCTCTAAAGTCTCCTCCTCCCTCTCTTCCTAAATCAGTATTCCCCACTTTTCTCCCTCTTATTTCCTGTGGAGGTTGCTGGGTTTAGTACCATCCACCATCACAGCACAGCGTTCCACAGCTGGGAAATCCTGCTCCTAGAGAGTCTGACTCCTTGCAGAGCAATGGGGAAAAGGAGAAAAACTGTTTCTGCTGTCTTGAAACAACCCTCTGTGCTCGCTGTGAATGCACACTCATCCAGATATCATGACCCTTCATCTCCTCCAAAGGAGATACAGGATGTGATGCTCCATGGTGGGCTCCATATGCATTCAGTGACAGGAGCCATTTCCAGAATCAACAAGGATTCTGTATGAATAAGTGGTGCTTATTATCACACCTGGAAAAACTCTTTAAGGCCTGCAGATCTAAAATTAACCATCACCACTTAAAAAATAGATGGCCTAGAGAAACAGGTACTTCTGTGCAGGAATGTTACAGAGTCTAGAAATCAGAGAAGGTATCCAATACTTTTTTGATAAACTGATGCTGTCAAAAAACCAGACTTCTCATGAATGCCATTTGCAGCTGAATTCTACATTTCATTCCTAATTGCTCTTTTTTTCTTTTTGTATATGCTGTGTGCTTGTGGTGTGATGACTGCAGATCAAGGTGGACAACCACTACGATTTTCAGGACATAGCCAGCGTGGTTGCCCTCACTCAGACCTACGCCACCACTGAGCCCTTCATAGACTCCAAATATGACATCAGGATCCAAAAGATAGGCAGTAACTACAAAGCATACATGTGAGCCAAAACCTTATCTTCTTTCATCTTCTTGTTTCAAAATTGATAAGCACCAGTAAGATTTAAGACTGTTGGATGAGTCTCTGAGCTGATGTGGTGACTCCTTTGTCATAGTCTCTGGAAAGAAAATATGTGAGATTTTCTAGGTTTATCAAGGCTTTTAATGTTAATTGTGACTGGGAGGAGGAGAATAAGACAACAGGTGAGCCTGCCAGAGTGGTTTTCCTGCTAACCTCTGTTTATTTTTTTGTTTGAAGAAGGGAGCAGTTGGAAGGGGATTGGTTTTTATAGAGGACTTGTTAAATGAGCTTCCTTTGTATCTTTTTGCCAACTTAGCATCAAATGTTCTTCTCCCTCTCAGGATATTAAATGGCATTCATTCACACAAACCCAACCTGTAGCACTTCAACAAAACAGAGTGTAAGGAACATTCTAATCTTGCAATGGTTTTCACTTATATGGGTGAAAAATCTCTTCTAATTGTAGACTTCAGGTGTTTGTTTAAAGATCAAAACTATACAAGAGGCTAAAGGCTGTTCCACTTCCAGAGTTCCACTTCACATTAAGCTGGAGCAGCAAAACAGGTTATCATGTAGTAGTGGAGCTATGGTAACTGTATTGCTGCATATTTTTACTCTCTTTCAATCATCAGGCAATGTAATGTGACATACACCCATTTCATTCATGTCTCTAAGACAATTTAAATAATCTCATGTATTTTTTTCCTTCTTCCTTAGAATTCTGAGGCAGGAAAATTATTACAAAACATGGATAAAAATACATATATGCATTCACACATGCACACCCCCATACACGAGCAAAGATACTTCCCTAGGAACTCCTGTAACATTGGAGGGATCAGAGATTTCATGTGTGTTGACATTTGAAATGCACAGTCAAGATCTTTATCAGTAGAAAGAGCGGAATTCAAAGCAAACCATAAGCACTAAGAGGAGCAAAAGCCAAAGATGGCTTAAAGGAAAGGTGTAAAATGTTTTGTAATATTGAAGACAGAGTTAGCTCTGAGTGTCAAGTAATTTAGGAACAACCAACAAGCTCTATGAGAAAGCAGGGTGGGGGAAAGGGGCAAAATCTTCTCTCCTTAGGTTGATATTTGAAGGCCACAACTCTCAATTTCTCCCCTAGAATGTTACTCTCACAAGAACAAAACTGTGTCAGCAACTGCTGGCCTCTCCTGACATCTGACCTGAAGGGGTGTTTGAGAAAGAACATCAAAGGTGACACCTTTCAGGGGCAGCTCAATAGTCCAGCTGCCTCTCCCTGCACATCTGAGGGGCCTCACGGAAGCCCAACACAGAATTGGGGAAATAGTATTCCCACAGGTCAGATCCATCCAGCAGTGTGGACACTCAGTCCTCCTGCTTTATTTTGAACCCAGAACTGTCAAACAAAAAAGCAGCATGTTCTGCAAAAGCAGCATGTTGGAATTTCAAGCTGCACACAGTAACCACGCAGAACATGCAAATAGCTCGCAAGGATTGGGAGGTTTTGGGAATCCTCTGTTGGTCATTTGCAGTGTTCTCTGTTCCTGGCTTCTCCAGGAAAGTTAATTCCAATTCTGCTCGTTTGCCTTACATTGCTGCCCCAGGCTGTTGACTTTTCCTGTCTGTAGCCCCATTTCTGGAGACATCCATCCTACTTTTTCTAACAGCACCACACTCCTACACCCCAAGGTCACCTCTCCTATCTGTCCAAACCATATCTTGGTCCAGTCCCACCACTTCCCCAGACCTCTTGTACCTTTCTGTCTCTTGGTCTCTACCCCTTATCCCTAGCCTTTTTTACTGCCCCAGGTTCTCCTTTGCCCCCTTTATTCTACTCAGTGCCACTCAACAGCCTTGATCTCCCTCTGCTTCCAGTCACCAGTCAGCCTTCCTTCTCTTCCTTAGACCTTTTCATAAAACTGCAGGTCTGGAACAGTGCTTTGCTCTACAGGTGGTGCTTAGATAGGCAGATTTCTTGTGTGGTGCTACCCATTGTTCCCCTCCTCTCTTGTTTACAATCAACTGAGTTGATTTGTCTCTTGCCTTACAGCTCCCAAGAGGCAGAGCTAGGAATAAAGCCCAACTCTTAATGGTTGTGACCCAACACCAGATACCAGCAGTCAGATGCAGCAGTAGTAACTTGATGGTTCATTCCCTGTGATAAAAACTGGATCACTACATTTCAGAGGAGAGAGACCTCCATTTTTGTATTTTGGCTTGAAATTTAAATGCTGTTGAGTCTCTGGAATGATTTTGGAAGAGTCAGCCATGGTAAAATTATCATTTTCAAGCCTAAATATTTCTTCTTCACAGAAGAAGCAGTTGGCTTAAGGGACAGCAAAAATAAGTTGAAATGACAGCCTGTTCCTTCCTCCTACCTTTTATTTATTTTTAAGTTTCTGCTCAGAAATGATGGGTTCACCCAAATGCCAAAAGCCCAGCAGTCATTTGTTCCTCTAGATTCTTTCATACAGTTAAATCACACAGAAAAATGAAATACCAATCTGTTGTGACAAAGCAGCAGGAAAAGAAGATTGACCAAATGGCTGTGAAGTCCTTCACAAACATCCATAGACATGATGTCAGGAGAATATTGTTTTACAGCTGGTTCTCATTTTGTTCTCTGACACAGGAACGAGGCACTTAGGGAGCCACCACAAAAAATACCAGCTGGACATTTGTTTGTGTAGTTTAAAGAGAGTTATTAAGAGCTTCAGTTTTATAATTCTGTGGGAAATTGTGGTATAAGTGGCTCCATGACTCACAAAATGCTGGTGCTTATCATCTGTCTGTAGAGATTCTAGCCAAAAGGCACCACTGGGTCCCTCTGAACACCACAGCTCCTCGGGGTGACACATCCTTAACTGCACTTGGTGCCATTACAGCATTCAGCTGGCTTCAAGGAAATGGAGTTAAAAGGGTCACACACAAAGAAGGAAAACAGCAATACAAAACCACTCCATTTACATCTCCTCTCCAAAAGCAGCCCTCTGAACCCATAACTTAATCTCCTTTGATCAGAAGGTCAATAAAACAAAAGCAGAGCACGTCAACCAGAGACAGATGGTGCTACAGGTGAACCACTAACCATGCTGCTGCACAAGAATTGTAGGAAGATATTTCTACATATTTTTCTGATGACAAACCCCTGTCCAGAGTATTTGGATTCTGTGCTTGAAATGTTGCTAAATGAAGCAGAAGGATGTTGGGAAAGGAGAAGCTCAAGTTGCTATGAATGGTTTGTACTAACTGTAGTTTATTCTTGCCCAATTTTTAAAAAGTTGTTCTTTGAAAAGACCAAATGAAGAGAAAACATGTTGAGCCTCCTTGTAAAGCCCTTAAAAGTGTTAAGAGTTGTTTTCTGTATTGTTTGATATTTGGTAAAAGTGGAGGAAATAATGATGTGACAGACCCACAGCAATTATCAGAGTAGAAGTGAAGAAGGGTGGGAAACCTACATGTTTCCACGGAGGAAATTAGATCTGAATTACAGAAATCATACCCAAGGTGTAACGTGCCAGATGGCCTGGCCTGGTACTTTTGTATCATCTGTGGTCTAATGGAACCCCTGTTGTGTGACAGACATGGCATCGAGCTGTTGAGATCACCCCAGTCAGGTCTGTGTCCATGGGTTCCTCTGGGTCCTCCCCAGGTCCCTCAGCATCCAGCCACCAGCCTGCTCCAGGCTGAGCAGGGGATCTGTACCCTTGGCAGTGTGGCTGCAAGCAAAGCAGCTCTTCTCTGCTCAGCAGTGCTGAGATGGCATCAGTAAAGCTGGGGATCTGGAGCTAAATACTTGCTCAAAGTCAAGGACAGTTTTGTTTTGGGTTTTTTTTTTTCTGAATTGGTCACTTCTTGCTTCCTAAGACACTTTAAATAGTACATGCTAATGAATGCCTTTGAGAATCTGTGTATTGTCTCCCTGATGCAGAATAGGTGTGTAGAGTTGTGCTGAACATAAAATATTGAAGTTCTAAGTACACACATATAAATCAGGATCTCTGGAAAAATGCAGCAGAAATCACAAAACAGCCTCATTGCTGGGACAAGTTACCTCACACACTCAACATGGGCCTTCTCCTTTCACTGTTTTCTCCCACACCAACAAAGAATATGGCACCTTACAAGGACTTTATGTTCCTAAATTCAGCAAACTTCATGAGTCTCCCACAGAAAAGTCAACATTCCCCCCACAAATACTCCTGAGCCTCGTAATGAGGTTAATAGAGAAATGGAGAGAAAACTATAGTTGCTGCCTGATATACTGTTAATACATTACAGATGTTCCTATTATTTTACTAACTGGAAACACTTCATAATTTGTATCCTTAGCCTATTCCCAGTAAAGCATTTAGGTTTCAGAAACCAGTCATCTCCTCAGCCCTGGTTGCAGTCCTAAGGTCTGAGGTAAAAAAACACTTTATATATTTTTTTTTTGAGATTAAAAAAAAGCTGGTACACTCAAACCTTGACATAAACTGTTTGGATTATTAGTAAACTAGCAAAGAGGAAAAACTGGAGGAATAACCAAAATCCAGCTCTAAACCAGATCTGAGATCCCTTTGGAGGTGTCAAAAAGAGAAATATCTTGATTTTTGAGTATTGGGACCTGACTCTGCAAGGGGATGGATTTGAAACGAGAAGGTGAAGCTTCAGTTTCTTGACATTTGCAGTAGTTCAATCCATTTATAACTGATAACAGCCTGTTGCAAGCACTTTCACTTAATCATAGTAGCTTTGGGGCTTTTCTTAAATCTTAAATGAATAACTGGGGAACCCAAATTTCACAGTTCTAGTTCATAACATGCCTACAGTGAAATGAGTCTTGCTGACAGTCACCATGCCTGTTAGAATTCCTTGCATTTAGATATTGTGTTATAAGCTGCCAGGTATTAAAGAGATTTAAATGCTGTTACAATATTCATGTGAAAATCAGAGTCATTTTAGAGACAGTGAAATTTCAGAGACTGGCTGTCTTTGTAATATTTTCCCCCTTTCAGGAGAACTTCCATATCTGGGAACTGGAAGACAAACACAGGCTCTGCCATGTTGGAACAAATTGCTATGTCAGATAAGTAAGTCGAGTCTCATGTCAAAGGTAATTTTAGAAAATTTATGGAATTTTATCTTAAGTGACTTTTTTTAATATAAATTGGGTTGTTGATGTGCAATTCCCAGGCAATGCATATCTGTTCCTTGTGGAAAAAACCCTTTGAATCAGGTGAAAGAACATGAGCCAAGAGTTTCCGTATGACTTGTCTCTGAGTCAACTACCCAAAGGAAGTACCAGCTTTAGGTGCTTAGGTGCACCCTTGGGTTCCTACATCCCTGTCTGCAGCTAAAGAAAAGGCAAATTTCCAGATTCAACCTAGCAACCCTTTCCTCTGGTTCATTTCCCCTATTTTACCTAACAGTCTTACCCCATGCCACAGTGTTTTAAACTGTTCTCTTTCTACATCATCTATTATAACCAGTTTTAACTTTGCCTGTTGAAATAATATTTCTCTTTTCTTCCTTCAATCCTGCTAAATTGCTTACTTTTCATTTTTGATATTTCCACTAAACTGCACTGTAAGGCTTTTTGCCCAGATGCTGGGATACACTGGAGCTTATTTCTCTCAAAGTCATCATTCCAGCTCTGTACCTTGCTTTACTTTTTGTTTTGTTTTTCTCTCCTCTTCTTATCCTGGATCCTTTTTGCAACCCAGTCAAGCACATTCTCCTTGCACTACTGTTTTGAGGCTCAGGTCTGCTATTGACAGAACTCTTCTCTCAATACTTTGCTCCAAGTTCCTCCACAACATCCAGACCTCTTTTCCCTGCCAAGTAAATCCTTGAGGCTTTTTGATGGCTATGAATTTTCTTTCAATTCCCCAACAGTTGCTACCAGTGGAAGCTGAAAAAGCTCTGTACAATGGAAGTGTAATTTAAAAGGTGTTTTAAAGTTCAACAGTAGCCTTTTTCTGGTTTGTTTTTTGTTGTGGTTTTTTTTTTTGTGGGGGTTTTTTTTTAAGTTTGGAACTTACAAGTTGTTCCCTCTAGTGAGCTGAGGGAGACACAGAAACTGAACCATTGCCTGCCCCAAGGAAGGTGCAAACAAGTAAGACGGGAATTACAGCTCCCAGCTGCCCACCCCAGTCTAGACTGTGTCCTTGCTGATCTCCCCTCTGGGGCTGGAGTGGAGCCACAGTATTTTCTCATTCCCCTCCCACCTTCCTTTAGAAAGTGAGGTTAAGCCTTGGCTGGGAGGAAAAGCAAGAGTGTGCTTTAGTGGGGCTAATTACAGCCCGTGAGCTGCTCCTCTGAGAAAACACAGGCCCTGCAGTTGGGCCCTAAGGAGAAGGACACAATATGGAGTGTGGGGGATGAGATACTAACCCTGCCTGGTCACCTCACTGGAAATGCTCTGCCTGCTTTGCTTATGCTTCCTTTTTTTAATGTAAGAGAATTAGAGCATAACAGGTGTTTTCCCATTAAAAAAAACCACTAGCCAAAAAGCCAGGACTTCTTTTCTGAAGACAAAAAGCACAGCAAAAATGGAATTTTTCTCCTAACAGAAGGGTATGTACCACAGATCTCTGCTTTTTATTTGAGTACATGGTGAATGCATGGAGCAGAGCAAGGAGGAGAAGGGAAGATTCAAGATTTCTGAAGAGCTGTAGTAGTTGAACAGCAACCCAAAGCAATCAAACTCAAGGCATGTGCATTTCTTTTGAAATACATCTCATGAGTTAGGAAGAAGTGCTTAGAAAGCAGTGCCTGAGTCAACCTTGTTGGCTGAATACAGATCCTGGTCCAGACACTTACAAAAGAAAGAAGAATGTGACACAAGAAAGGACAATGACAGGACAGGGAACAAGCACATCTCCATGTTACACATTCTTCTCAACCCCTCTGTTTCCAAGAAGCTCTGCTCCCTAGGTAGGGCCAGAAGAATGGAGACCTGTGCTAACTGAGACACCTCTGGCACACCAGGTGTTTTGTGTCAGGCACCCAAGGAACAAAACTTCATGGCCTGCCAGTGGCTGCTGCACACTCTGTTGGCTCTGGGAAAATCTGAGCTTCTTGTCCAACCTAGTGTGCAAGCCTTGGGTTTAAAACACTCCCAAGACCAGTCCATCCAAGACCTCTCTTTCCAGCTCTGTGTTTGTTGGCAGAAGACAGGCTATTAAAAATGCTTGCATACATCTGAGTGGTGTTTCAGTATTTTAAAGAAAATGTCTTCCTTTTTTAAAAAAAATCCAGATATTTACTGTTAAAGACAAGTTTTGTTGTCTTCACAACTTTCTAAGATACATGTTAGTACTTTATAGCTAAAAGAAAAGTATTCATAAGCAAGTGCAGCAAGCAGGCCAGTCAGTGCATCTACAGATGTTGAAATTGTCAGGCATCCAGAAAGCCTCTCATTTTGGACAAAAAACATGTTTCTCACAGGAACAAAATTATTTTCCTTGCTAAAATATTACCATCAGGATTTTTTCAAACAGTTGTATCAATTGCTTTGTATTCTGTTCCAAAGAACAAGTTTTCCAGTGGAACAGACTGAAGAAAATACAAAGAATGTCACCTAGTAAGTTTACTTGGAAGGGATGCTGGGACTGAAGGTATTTGTATACAAATAAGACTCTCAGCCCAGCAACGAGTTTCCTTTGATCCTGCAGTGAAGTCCAATGCCAGGTTGATTACATCAGGGGTTTTGCAATGGAAAATACTATGGTGTGGCAAATCTGTCTTTCTGGCTCACAGGCTGGGTGAGGAGAGAGCAGGAGAGGCTCTGTGGAAGGAAATAGCTCCCATTTATTCTCAAATGCTGGCCAAAAAAAGAGAGGAAAGTTTATGATAAATGGCTGCTTTAAAACAGGTGGGTTTTGGGAAAACATGTCCCTCAATTGGTGGAACTAGGATATCTGCCTATATAACCTTTCAAGACCATATAATGACTTTCTGGTGCCCCACAGCAGCTCTGCTATTAGTTAATGAAAGTTCTCCATGTTATTTTGTGTCCTGGGAGTCCTTGCCATGGAGAAAACACTCCCAGCTGACAGCACCTCCAAACACCCTTAGCAAAGTTTTCCTACTCCCTGCTGTGGCCCCCCTGCCAGTTTTGTTCTGGAGCACAGGAATTGCCTCACTCTTCTTCTAGTAAGTCCCACTTCATTCCCTTGTTAGTCAGATAATCTCTCTAGTGACAGGATGGACAGGACTCTTCTTGCAATAAATCATAGTACTGCCTGTGGAGTGGGCGACCTGTCCATTCCTCAGTGCCTATTTCTTACCATGAGGTTAGAAATGGAGTTGTTCTAACATTCAGTACTGTATGGAACACCAGCTTTTGTTAGAAGTTGTGGAATTCCTCACAATTCTTCACATTTCTGTTGAGTTTTACTGCAGTTGTCTGTACCCCTACCTGAGGAACATTGTCCTTGTCTCCACGCTGCGTAACTTTTCCATAGTGTCACCCATCTGTTCCCCTGCAGCATCTCAAGGTTTGGTTTCTCTTGATTTTTATTTTCCCTTGGTAAGTGATGGGCATATAAAGCTGCCATTGCTCCTTTGGAATCCAGTCGGGTCCATCATTTAGGATGGACTTTAAGTTTCTTTTAAGATTGTACTTTTCCTGATAAAAGAATTAAACCCGTCCATAATGAAGGGCACTCCCAAGCACAATAGGCAGGAGGATTGTCACACTCAAATCTGTGCACGGATGCCCAAGTTTGGATTTTCAGGAGGGAACAGAAGCCCTGTTCCCTACTTCCTAAAACCCCCTGGCATTGCTGAAGCCACAGCAACAGGCCAGATGACAAATCCCTCTTCTCTACAGTTCTCCCACAAAGCAGAGCCACAGCCAACAACTGTCCTAGCCTGAGGGCACTGGAAATGCAGGATAGGACACAGCTAAATGCTCTTAGTGTTCCAGCATCTCTTATCTTCAGGTTGCTCACAGTTTAGAGCAGACATGTGTTTGGACCAGTATAAACTGGAACAGGATCCAGAATAACACGAGGTCAGGATCCAAAGCACAGCTTTTCTGCATCCTGCTGGCAACAGCAGAGCAGTCAGGCCAGTATCTCCAAGCTGCTGTTCTGGGAAATTCAGTAAAACTGACAATATAGTGAAGCTTGTGGATTTAGAGCAAATGTTATATAAAATGCATTATTGGGTTAAGCCTGTAGAGAAACAAGAGCCTGATGAGATACTCACAGAAAAAAAAATTATTTCTATGAAACAGGTACAAGCTTTGGGTTGACACCTGTTCTGAAATATTTGGTGGTCTGGACATCTGTGCTGTTAAAGCTGTACATGGCAAGGATGGAAAAGATTATATTTTTGAGGTAAGCAATCCCACTCTTTTCAATATATGCTTTTATATATTACAAACACCCAATTAAAGAACACTTGTGATAGTTAGGCACTGGCTTGTTACTGTTTCAGGAAAGGCTGTGTGTTTTTGAGTACTTTTAAATCGTAATACAAAGCCACACATCCAAGTTAGTGGCAACATTTGCTGGAAAATGTAGCCATATATATGGTGAGGTCTTTGAGTGTTGGAGGAAATGTACACAAAGTACAAAACAAAACCAAATGTGGATGTCACATTTTCCCAACCCTTATGATTTCTTTCCTGAGCAGGATTACCAGTTTTTCCTGGAAGGTTTATAGATAGCACTATCCCAAGGAACCCCAAGAAAATTATACCTTTACATGGAAAGGGAAAATGAGAATGAAGTGGAAACAGCTTCACTTTTTTTCTAGTCTAAATGATCTGATTCCTCATGAATCAGAAGTTTCTGCTGTAGAAGATTTTGAGAAGTTTGTTTCTCATTTACCTTGTTTATTATGGATAAATATAACTTTGGCCATAAAAAACCAAAACCAAACAAAACCAAAAAAAGCTATCACACAATTCAGGATTTCTTCAGCATCTTCTGTATTCTTAGAATTTTATTCAGGAGATAGACAAGGATCTTCAGAATCTCCCTACTCCAAAAAAAGGGTGATATTTGCTGAAGTAGAAGGGCATTTTTTTTCTAAACCATGAGAGTAATCTGGAGATTTTGGATTGAGCCTCTCTAGTTATTTGTATCCATTTATAACAGGAAAGCTTTGTAGAGTAACAATCTTTGCTTCATCACAGTGTTAAACAGTTCTGTGTACAGAATTCACGAATTTATTTATCACTATATAGAAATATTTATTTATTGCAATTGCTAATGATTCCCAGATCAATCAGTAGCCCTTTGTAGGACTGAGCAGCTTGGTCCTTTCCAACCCATAGGATTCTGTGATTAAACCTTCAGCAAAACTACCAGAATTCATCTCAACCTCCTGAGATGCTGAGGAAAATGGCAAGAAATCCTGTTTGCTTAGTCTGCCTGGCCAAAGCAGAACTTAACTGTTTCTTATTATATCAAAACTCACTGTAGCCTAAACCTTAGGATTCCATACCAAACCTCTTGTGTTGCTCCTTCATGCAGTGCAGTCTGTCCCCCATGGCTGGCATCAACCCACACTCCTGAGTCCCTCCTATCAATCTCTTTTATTCCCTACTTCCTTTTCATCCCTTACTAACTTTACAAATGCAGTTGGGCCTTTTCTGCTTCCAAAGGCAGTGAAGGATGTCTCCTTTATTTTAACATGCAACACTTTTGTGACATTCCTGTTAGCAGATTCCTGCCAGACTGAATGCACTTCCCTTTCAGTCCCTGAACTTGACTGTTACCACATTTTTTATATGGTGCAATTAGTCAGATTTTTGAGCAAAGCCAGCAAGCATCATGAGCCTCCCCTCAGATCAGGTGCACAAACCAGCTCCTCCTGTTGGGTAGGAGGAGAAGGGGCAGCAGTTTTTTTGAAAGTGAGATAGCCAGTTAAAATTCTAAAATGGACTGTCAGGGTACCCCACCTCCTGCTTCTGAGCAAAGCCCTGGTTTTCCATGCCAGATGCACTCATACTTCTAAGCAAACAGACTTCTGAGAACTGCAGGATACATCAGGAACTGGGTTTGTAGAGCATTTTAAGCAGTCTACATAATAGATGAGGCAAGAAAGAAGAGTGATAAT